AGTTACAGGAAGTGACTGGGAGTTACAGGAAGTGACTGGGAGTTACAGGAAGTGACTGGGAGTTACAGGAAGTGACTGAGGGTTACAGGAAGTGACTCTGAGCATTACAAGAAGTGACTGAGGGTTACAGGAAGTGACTGAGCATTACAGGAAGTGACTGAGCATTACAGGAAGTGACTGTGGGTTACAGGAAGTGASTCTGTGGGTTACAGGAAGTGACTCTGTGGGTTACAGGAAGTGACTGTGAGTTACAGGAAGTGAYTGTGAGTTACAGGAAGTGACTCTGTGGGTTACAGGAAGTGATTCTGTGGGTTACAGGAAGTAACTGGGAGTTACATGAAGTGACTGAGGGTTACAGGAAGTGACTGAGCATTACAGAAAGTGACTGTGGGTTACAGGAAGTGACTGAGGGTTACAGGAAGTGACTGAGGGTTACAGGAAGACACTCTCTGGGTTACAGGAAGAGACTCTGTGGGTTACAGGAAGTGACTCTGTGGGTTACAGGAAGTGACTGTGGGTTACAGGAAGTGACTGAGGGTTACAGGAAGTGACCGTGAGTTACAGGAAGTGACTCTGTGGGTTACAGGAAGTGATTCTGTGGGTTACAGGAAGTAACTGGGAGTTACAGGAAGTGACTGAGCATTACAGGAAGTGACTGTGGGTTACAGGAAGAGACTCTGTGGGTTACAGGAAGTGACTCTGTGGGTTACAGGAAGTAACTGAGGGTTACAGGAAGGGACTGTGAGCGTTACAGGAAGGGACTGTGAGCGTTACAGGAAGTGACTGAGTTACAGGAAGTGACTCTGTGGGTTACAGGAAGTGACTCTGTGGGTTACAGGAAGTGACTGTGAGTTACAGGAAGTGACTGAGGGTTACAGGAAGTGACTGTGAGCGTTACAGGAAGTGACTCTGTGGGTTACAGGAAGTGACTTTGAGCTCTAACTCACTCCGATGATTCTCAGGCGAGCCCTGGCTCTCCTCCTGAACTGCTTCGTAGCTTCTCTATTAGCAACTTCCTGTTTGCTCTTGTCTGATTGGCCGTCATTGCCGTCACTAAAACCTGAGGTAATATCAGAGGAGTAGCTGCAAAAAAAAAAAACACAATCAAAGAAAAAACAACAAAATCAATACAAACACATTAAACTAATGTTACTAATGTCTGCTTCAGAGTGGATTTACTGTTCACCTGTCGACAGGTGAGGTGAAGCCGTGCACTGAGTTCGGTGGTGGACGCTCAGCATTCTGGGACACAGCGATGCTCTGCAGGTCAGAAACATTTTAATGTCTCTGCTCCTCCATTGAAAGACGAAAAAAAGGTTCTGCCTGTATTCACGGTTTAGCCACGCCCCCTTTTAACTCACCTTTGGGAAACGCAGCACCGGGAAAGGCAGAGCTTTGAATGCTGGATGATTAATAAGGGACGAAGTCTCTGAAACAGGGGCGGGGTTTTGGACTAGAGGCGGGGCCTCTGCAGCTACTGGGTCACTAAAGATCCCCGTCTCACAGTCGGCTGCCATGACGAGAAAAATAACTAAAATCAATCAATCAATCAATCAATCAATCAATCAATCAATCAATCAATCAATCAATCAATCAATCAATCAATCAATCAATCAATCATGATCAGAAAGCATTAAATAATAATAAAATATTTAAAACCCAGTGCTAACAGGCAGCAGAGGAGTGGGACAGGTGTTTGGACGTCTTGTCTTGGTCCTCCTCTCCTGTCCTGCTGGAGACGCTGCTGATCCCAGAATCCATCAGGTTGCTCAGGGACAACGCCAATGATGTCACTGCTGATGTGGGCGCTGTGGGCGGGGCTCCTGCAGGGGTGGGAGGCTTATTCTGTTAAACAGGAGCATTTGAAAAGATTAGCAAGAAAATACAACTTTTGTTGAAGCAACCAAACATCAACAGGTCAGAGCTCACCTGACTGGCTGCCTTTCCAGCAGCAGACGTGTTTGAGACAGATTCAGGTTTCTTATTGGACAGTTCAGATTGCTGGGGGGCGGGGTCAGGTTTGTTTTCGCTGGCTGCTTCCTTCTGGTTGTTGTGCGCTTCCTCCGTCAAGCGGCGCTTTTTGTCCCTCTCTCGTTTTATGGCAGTCACTCGATGTCTGATGGCCTTAGCGATCACCTTGTAGTCCGCCTTAGACACAAACCCCAGGATCACCTGAGAAACACACAGGCTCAGGTGAGACCAGCTGCCAGGTGATGTAATCTTCATCATGTCATCAGAGCAGTGAGGCAGGTACCATCTCCTGGGCAACCTCCTCAGGAACATCTTTGTACAGTTCAAACAAGAACTCAATGGCGTCGTGGTCTTTGTATTTCCCACAAAGCTTCTTGTTGTCGTCCATCCGGAGCCAGAGCTTCAGCGCCGCCTTCGAACCATCGTCTTCCTCAGCCAGCTCCACGTGGACACCTGTCTGCTCCTGGAAGAACCGGTGGTCCAGTAGATCCTGGACCGTGAACCTGCARGTACCAACAAATGAAACCCCCAGAGATCAACCCCAAAACAACCACATTCTGAGTTTTCTGACTCTTTCTCTGGACAGTGAACTAACCACAGATTCTGTGTTTTCTGACTGTTTTTGTGGACAGTGAACTAACCACAGATTCTGTGTTTTCTGACTGTTTTTGTGGACAGTGAACTAACCACAGATTCTGTGTTTTCTGACTGTTTTT